AGTATTAATACCACTTTACAATGCCTTGATAAGGCCACACTTGGAATACTGCATCCAGTTTTGATCACCACAATGTAAAAAAGATGTTGAGACTCTAGAAAGAGTACAGAGAAGAGCAACAAAGATGATTAGGGGACTGGAGGCTAAAACATATAAGGAACGGTTGCTGGAATTGGGTATGTCTAGTTTAATGAAGAGAAGGACGAGGGGGGACATGATAGCAGTGTTCCAATGTCTCAGGGGCTGCCACAAAAAAGAGAGAGTCAAGCTATTCTACAAAGCACCTGAAGGCAGGACAAGAAGCAACAGATGGAAACTAATCAAGGAGAGAAGCAACCTAGAACTAAGGAGAAACTTCCTGACAGTGAGAACAATCAACGAGTGAACAACCTGCCTCCAGAAGCGGTAAATGCTCCAACCCTGGAAGTTTTTAAGAAGAGACTGGACAGCCATTTGTCTGAAATGGTATAGGGTTTCCTGCCTAAGCAATATACTGCAATCCAAATGGAGTATGTGTCAGTATGACTATTTTATTATAAGACTGAAAATTTGTTTTGATTTTTCTTAAAATAGCCTACAAAACATATCCGCTGGCAAAATAGTATCGTGGGAGAGCATTTCTCTTATTCAAGCATAGTACAATTATTGTTTAAGTTACCTGCTGAGAGAGAGAGAGAAAGGGAGAAACTACTGTCAACCACTAACTCTATAATTATCATCTAAAACTATAATCTCTTTCACAATTAATCAAAATACTGATTTGTGAGTCAGAGACATATCGACTATGATGTTAAAGTTGATATATTTACATGTTCCTCAATAAATAAAGCAAAAACAAGCTGTGAACTTCACAGAAATGGCATGATTTTTGAAATGTCTTATTTCTACCTGTACAATTACTTATTTTAGTTATTTATTCAAATAATATTTAATACTATTTAGCTATAATGCAATACTGATGTCTATCACATGCTCTCTATATCTAGAAGTGTAGAAGGTTCAGTCAAATACTACCCAGGCCAGTACTTTAAAAAATATAACTAACATGAATTAGAACTAGATCTAATTTTGTGGCTGTCTTTCAGTTGAACCCATTCCTGAGGCTAATTAGTTCACAATGTTACAAAATGAAGTACAAAATGAAGTATATGGATTGCAAACAAAACAAATTTTCAAGAAAATGAAGCGTTCAAGTGCTTCTGATATTTAAATCATAAGCTTTGATGATTTGCCCACCCAATATACGCTAAGTGGCAACCAACGATTTTGAGGAATTCATTTGTTATGTGAAACTCCCTGATCCAGAGGTAATAGCTCGTGGTGCAGAGAAGATGATTTTGCCATTCACAGCACATTCTTGCCAGGCCATTCTCATGATCAAATTTTAAAGCTTTTGATTTTCACAGGTCAAGGACTTCAAATTTACAATTGTTTATGCACATGTAATACTATTGCAGGGGGCAGAGCTCACTGATCAGCTAAGAGAGAGTTCCAAATGTGATCAAGGTATTTATACAGATAAAAAATACTTATACAGACAAAGATAAAATACTAGACCTCAGCAGTAACTGTCAGCATGATGAAAGCCGCAAATGAAACCCAGCTGAGTGACTGAGCCAGTCATTCTGTCTCAATCCAGCCCACCTCACCATGTTGTTGTTGTGCAGAAAATAGGAGGAGGAGAATGTATTGGATATGTTTGCTACCTTGAGTTATTCATAGAAATACTAAAGGTGGGGTACAAATAAAATAAATAAAAATGAATAAAATAATCCCCTATGGAGGTTGTTGGTAGACCCCCAAAGTTTCATATTAGAAAGTGTAGAAAATAGGTTTTTAAAAAAACTGCATAATTTAATTCCCAGGCTATGGGACCATGCCAGGAAGATAGACAGAAAAAAGGACAAATGAATGGAGATTATTTTGAGACTGAATCCTTCACCAATGATGCACAACTTGTCTGATGAGCTACTAAAATAATTCATCTGTATTGAAGTAAGCAGAGCAGAACTAGCCCAATTTACAGAGCAGAACTAGCCCAATTTAATGCTCCAATTTAATGCTCCCCACAGCTATTTTGGAAAGGATATATAGGAAAACCCCACATGAAACCCCAGTAGGGACCCCAGGGGACAAGTGGATTAGTGAGATGGTTCTGCTATTTTTAACATTCCTTCATCTATCATACTTTGTTTTGGTTTAATTTTTATACTTTTTAATGTATTTGTTAACAAATTTGCTAATTTGTTGTATGCCATTCAGAGTTGCTTGTTTGTGAGATGGGTGGCTATATAAATTGGTTTAATAAATAAATAAATTGCCCCTGTGACTTGTTGCTGCACAGCCCATATTTTTTTTGTATTGTCAGCTCTACAGGGACATTGATTACCCTCTTTTATTTAAATTTCTTGGGCATGCTGATAACTTTTATTTGCATTTGCTGTTAAGCAACCTAACTACATTTATTTCTCTAAAAATAGCAACATTTTATAACATTATGCGTATGCTTCACCCACAAATGGTTGCCAACCGGTATTGATCTTAGAGGATAATTTTGCCTTGTTTATTTTACAGAGTGCATTTTCACTGGTCAATGGCCAAAAAAAGTTTATGTTCTTTTCTGTAGTAGCCACTCAGATTCACTTCTATCCGGATTTCACATGGGCAAGGTCTGGTGTGATGATTGGGATTTTTTTTCTGGTTTATTCTAAGATTACTTTTGGCTGGTTCCTCTGAGTAAATGGTACTCTCTAGGGCAGTGGTTCTCAACCTTTTTAATGCCGCGACCCCCAACCGGTCGTAAGTCGAGGACTAAACCGGTCGTAAGTTGAGGACTAAACCGGTTGTAAGTCGAGGACTAAACCGATCGTAAGTCGAGGACTACCCAACCGGTCATAAGTCGAGGACTTTCCCTGCCGGGGAGCGCCGCACATGTGTGGTTCCGCCCCCTGCGCCGGGCGAGGCATAGCTGGCAAGCGGCAGAGACGGAGCAGGCCGACCACCAGCTGGACCAGCCCAAGGGAGGTAAGGCACCCACCGGAAAAGGGGAAAAAAATGGCAGACAGCCTTGCTTGGCGACCCCCGTGAAATGGTCGATCGACCCCAAATGGGGTCGCGACCCATAGGTTGAGAACCGCTGCTCTAGGATACCCTCAGTTACCTGCTGGCTGGATCTTTGCATTTCCTGCCTTCTTTGGGTAGCTGGAGGAAGTGGTTTCCTAGATCCAAGGAGTTATTAATTATTCCTTGACCAGGGGATGATACTGGTGTCCTTAAAAGAGGCCACACTATATGCCTTCTTTAAAGGGGGACTATTGATTAGTACCTGGTCTTTTTTTTTAATGAAGATGGTTCAGAATCAACTACAGAGCACTCTGGGGATAAGAATTATCTGGACCCATACTAAACATCACTGGTTGCTCTGGTTGATAATTTTTGGCATGACTTGGACACAGTTGGTATGTCTATTTTGGTCTGGTACAACTTCTCATCAACCATGGTATCCTCCTGGACCAGTGATGGCGAACCTTTTAGAGACCGAGTGCCCAAACTGCAACCCAAAACCCATTTATGCATCATCGGGTGCCGGGTGGGTGTGGCCCATTGGGGGTGTGTGGCCCATTGGGTGGGCGTGGCTCTGGTGGTAACGGCAGACTGGGTGGGACTAAAAAGTTCAATCAATCAGTTCCAACTTTGCAAGATCTTTTTTTTCCCGCGAGAAGTTGAAATTGACTGATTGATTGAACCTTTTTTTTTTTTTGCACATGGCGGCGGAGGCCTAAAGTGAAAAGGTTTTATAAAACCCAGCTGAAGGCCTAGGACTGGGGTGACAGCGCGTGTGCCCACAGAGAGGGCTCTGAGTGCCACCTCTGGCACCCGTGCCATAGGTTCGCCACCACAGTCCTGGACTGTCTGTGGTGGTTAGAGATTGGGAGTAGTAGTTCTACTCCTATCTTGGTAGATGGTTCCAGTCAGTAGTGATAGAGGAGAAATCAACTTAGTAGCTCCTCCCTTGTACTGTACTTCAGGAATCAGTTTTCTCCCTGTTACTATATAAAGCCACTGAAAGATATTATTTAGCTATTCAAAATGATCCCAGGCTGCTCTGAGGATGGTGCCAAAATCCTATTTCAGTGCTTGGAGATTTTAATGTCTAGATGGGAGAGAACAAGGTAATATTGAAATGTAATAAAAATTAGTTGCCATGCGTACATTAGGATTTTCTTGTACTTCTAGAAATTATTCTGGAGATGGAGGCACTGTCCATGAAGAAGCAGGTCCATGGCTTTAAGTTCTCTTGGACTCATAATTCCTGTTAGAACAGTAGGTAAAGGCCATGCAGGGATGGATGAGAGTGATTAAATGCAGGTTTGATTGACGAGCTAGTTGTGTTTTTTCCTGGGACAGGAGGACCTTGTAACATGTGCCCTTATCATTGTCATCATGGTATTCTATAGGACCATATTTAAAAACAATCTGATAATTATTTGGAACAAAATGCAGCAACTCAGATGCTCACCAGCATCTTCCTACAGAAGTCAGTCTATTACAATTGTGGCAGAAGAAATAGATGATTGTTCCTCACTTTTGCAGGATTGGAGGGAGGTCAGACAATGGGAAGTGTTGTTTTTCAGTGGCAGTGCCAGAATGATCTCTGGTTGAGGTTAGATCCACGCTTACCTTGGACACCTTCCAGAAGATGTTAAACATCCAACACTTCCAAACACCATTTGGGTCATTATCTCTTTGTTGGAATTTTATGAATTTTCAATTTTTTTAATTTTGGTATTTTTTTAATTCTACTGGTAAGATACTCATTGTCTGTTGGATTGCAGTGAGGTAAAAAACTGAATCAATAATAATAATGAATACTGATACAAATAATACTTATGACACATAAATGTCCAATCTAGGCTATTTATGAGAATAGCAAGGGGCAAAACTCATTAAAATGTTACAGTATTAATAAAAAATTTGCAAATTTCTTGGAATGTCCTTACCTCTTCCTTGGTCTTTTTGGATATAACTCTTAGCCAATCACCAATCATGCTCAACACAGCAGCAAAATATGCAAGACCCACCAGAATCCAGAACCACACAACTGGTTTGTAAAAGTCAAAATATTCAATATCTGATCCCCCTAAAAAGAAATCAAATAAATATAATTTGTATTGGATACCTTTTACCAGTCATTTACATTTTTTTTACTATTTATTAGTAGTTATTAACTCATAGAACACAGGTAAGACCGAAGTCAACTCAACATTAAATCAAAAAATTGAATTATATTCCAAGCAAAGTTTAGAACTTTAATGCAATTTCAGTGATAAAGATAACTTGTTCTTAAATCAATAAGTTTTTGAACTGTGATTTGGTATTCCATGACTGTGCGTTCTCCTTTTCGGAAGCAAAAGCATCTGTTTTGAAACAGAATACTTTCTCCATTAAACTGGTAGAGTCTTACCCAGAAGGATCTGCCCAAATTACATTCTCCTTCTATAACAGCAAGGGCCAACCTATGATTTTACTTTCCATTTTTAATTTTCATAGAAATCAGCCTCCCACAGTCATATTAACAATCTATGTTCTTACCCAGTTTCCCCCATCAACTCCATTCAAACAACCACCTAACAAACCAGCAATGCCAAAAACCAATGACACCAATAAAAGGAGATCTGTGAACTTTCTAACAGCTCCCTCCAATCAGCCGGCTCCAACCACCAATTCTACTACGGTAGCAATATAGGAAACCAGCAACCTTCCTCTTCCTAAACCTTCCATTTTTATTTTATTTAGGTACTTATATTGACAGAGTCTTCAAAGACTGAGAATTAACAGTAATTCTCCCAAATTTTAAGAAAGAAAGGGAAGAGCTGCCAGCTACTTATTAGCATAAAAAACTGGTAAATATAGTTAGTAAGATTTACAATAGGCATTTATACTAAATGTGACAGGCGTGTTTCTCATGGAAAGAAGAAGAAGAAGAAGAAGAAGAAGAAGAAGAAGAAGAAGAAGAAGAAGAAGAAGAAGAAGAAGAAGAAGAAGAAGAAGAAGAAGAAGAAGAAGAAGAAGAAGAAGAAGAAGAAGAAGAAGAAGAAGAAGAAGAAGAAGAAGAAGAAGAAGAAGAAGAAGAAGAAGAAGAAGAAGAAGAAGAAGAAGAAG